AGTGCAAGTAGATAAATAGGTACCACTCCAGCAGGAAGGTAAACGGCGTTTCCGTGCGCTGCTCTGGTTCGCCAGAAGCGGCTTAGTCATGCTGACCACATGACCCGGAAGCTGTATGCTAGCTCCCTCAGCCAATAAAGCGAGATGAGTGCCGCAACCCCAGAGTCGTCCACGACTGGACCTAACAGTCAGGGGTCCTGTTACCTTTACCTTTAGGACACTTTAAAGATTTCTTTTCAGTCTTTCTATGTTTTCATTGTTCCTTTATTGCAATTAGAAAAATGGGCTTTATACAGTTCTTATAACAGGGAATTGGACTACCATGACCCTTTAAACTCTACAGTTCTAGGATTCCAGAGCCAATTCTGCTTCCTAAACATCACTGTTGTGTTCTACTTCTCGCAACTCTCCATTCCCAACTCTCTCTGCCAAAGACCAAATATCAATGGAGTCTCAGCACATATTCAGTGTGGTGTGGTGTAGTGGTTAAGAGCGGTAGTCTCGTAATCTGGGGAACCGGGTTCGGGTCTCCGCTCCTCCACATGCAGCTGCTGGGTGACCTTGGGCCAGTCATACTTCTTTGAAGTCTCTCAGCCCCACTCACCTCACAGAGTGTTTGTTGTGGGGGAGGAAGCGAAAGGAGAATGTTAGCCGCTTTGAGACTCCTGAAGGGGAGTGAAAGGCGGGATATAAAATCCAAACTCCTCTTCTTCTTCACTCATGGGTCACATTCTGCACATCCCTAACAGTACATGGTATCTTTCATTATACTTACTATTATGAGACATTACCTTCATTGCTTTAATACATATATGTACATACAAACACCAGAACATCAAATACACTCCATGCATTCACAATTGATTTTCCCCTATATCAGTTTATTGATACGAGAGACAAAGTGAAATCTGTGTTGAAAACATAGCACACTCCATATGCCTAAATGGGTTCTCCCCTGGGAGACTCCGAAGATGTATATTAAGAACTCCATTTTAATTCAAACATTTCCACACTTTTTCCATTTAAACAGTTACTTCTCTGTGAGAGAGTTGATGTTTTCTAAGACTTACACTCTTACTAAAGCACTTCCCACACTCCAGACATTTAAATGGTTTCTCACCCATGTGAGTTCGTTGATGAATAGAAAGTATTCCATTGTGACTGAAGCTCTGCCACAGTCCACACATTTAAATGGTTTCTCCCCTGCGTGAGTTCGTTGATGTACTGTCAGATTTGAAGCTTCACTGAAGCTCTATATTCCCATTTATTTAGTGAGAAATTCATGGGTTCAATTCCCCGCAGGGGCAGCGAAAGACGACCCCCCCCCCCATTTCTTAGAAGCCTCCTCCTGGGAAGGGGTTTAGACCAGTAACTTAAGACAACACTAAGGGCTCGTCCAGTGTCATTACAATGTGTACCTTTTGTAAAAAGAGGGAGCTGATGGAGAAAGTTAGGCTTTGTTATGGGGGGGGGTGCAGCTCAGTGGTAGAGCAGTTGCTTTGCATGCAGAAGGTCTCGGATTCCCATTTTCACATTTGGTGGGAGTGTACTGTCATCCACACTTCTGGGGAAAAGTTTTTTATCAGACCTCCAATAAACAATCTATCCCTCCGAATTTAGCATTTGCCTTATTATAACCATATTAGACCCCATATTGTACGCTTTAATCTAAAATATTAATTTCCTTTCTGTTCGCAGCAGCTAGACTACAGTTATTGCCCAACGATGGAAGGAAACCTCTAAAATAACATTAGAGTGATTGGAGTCATCATTCTGTGACATTATGGCAGTTATTTATACCCCTCCCATCTGGCTGGGTTTCCCAAGCCACTCTGGGCAGCTCCCAACAGAATATTAAAAACACAATAAAACATCAAACACCAAAAACTTTCCTAAACAGGGCTGCCTTCAGATGTCTTCTAAAAGTCAGCTAGTTGTTTATTTCCTTGACATCTGATGAGAAGGCGTTCTGCAGGTCGGGTGCCACCACCGAGAAGGTCCTGACTGTAACCTCACCTCTTGCAATGTGTTTCCATTCTTCCTCAGGCTGATATAGTTAATTGGCTCTGCTTCACTGTCACTAGATAATGCTTCCTGAGATATCTGACCCCTTGGCAGACTGCCCTCGTCTGGGCTGTCTTCCAGCCCTTCCCTTCCCACTGATATTGGAGTGCCAGGTCCAGAAGGGAAGGGGGGTTGAAGCTGTGGGGTGTCAGCTAGGAAAGTGGAGCCTTCTGCCTCATCTGCACGCTCACTCTCCGATGCTGCCTTGTCTACTGGGTCCTGGGGAGCCAGGTTCCTGACACAGGAAGTCCTCCACACCTGCCCACCCACCGTCCCACAAAAACAGTACTTCCGTCTTGTCAGGATTCAGCCTCAATATGTTAGCCACCATCCATCCTGCAACCACCTGCAGACACACAGGACCTTCACCACCTTCACTGGTTCTGATTTAAAGGAGAGGAAGAGCTGGGTATCATCCAGTGTCAGGAACGTGGCCCCCCAGATCGCAAGGGAAGAGCAAAGACTCAGAAATTGAACTAAATGAACAAGGGTCAGACACTTTCTGGACACAGCCCAGAAGGAAAGAGCGGAACCACTGTATAAGAGTGCCCCCAGCTCCTCTAGACAGTCCAGAAGGATGTTACGGTCGATGGCATCAAAGGCCGCTGAAAGATCCAGAATGAGGAAACTGCTTTCACCTTTATCCCTAGCCCACCACAGATCATCAACCAGTGCGGCCAAGGCAGTTTCAGTCCCATGATGAGGCCTGAATTGGAAAGGATTCAAATGGTCCGCATCCTCCAGGCATGCCTGGAGTTGTTCAGCAACCACCTGCTCAATCACCTTGCCCAAGAATGGAAGATTTGAGACTGGGCAATAGTTGGCCATATCGGCCGGGTCCAAAGATATTTTTTTAAGAAGCGGTTTAATAACCACCTCTTTCAGTGGGTCTGGAAACTCCCTGACAGAGGGTAGCATTCACCACCTCGCAGAGCCCATCGCCCAGCTATTCCCAGCTCACTTTTATGAGCCAGAATGGGCAGAGATCAAGGAGACAGGTGGTTGGTTTCACTCGTCCAAGCAGCCTGTCCACATCCTTGGAGGTAACAGATTGGAATTGATCCCATGCAACTTGACTAGATAGGACTCTAGCACCCTCCCGCCCAGGCCCTGCTCCCATGGTGAAGTCTACCTCTTTCTGAATCTGAGTGACTTTTATCTGCCAAAAAAATTGCAAAATCATTGCAGGAGATCTTGAGGTCCTTATGGCCCCGATGGCACAGGTAGTTCTGTTAAATTGCAAACCACCTGAAAGAGTCTCCTGCTGCTGTTTTCGCAGATGCAATAGAGGCAGTTATGAAGGTCCACTTCCCCGTTGCTATAGCCACTTGGGAGGCTCAACGGGAGGCAGTGGAAGACAGGAGTGCCTGACATGTGCTGGTCCATGGGGTCACGAAGAGTCGGACACGACTAAACGACTGAACAACAATAGGCTCAATGTTGAGCTCTAACCTGTGTCTGGTCCACAGAGATTCCTCTCTCTGCAGGGAAATGACTCTCCTGAAACCACTGGCAATGCCTGCATTTCCCTGTGTCACCTTCCCTCCGCATATTGGTTGTTCCCCATAGAACCTCTTTATCCCGTCTGCCACCAGGGATTTCATCCACTTAGTTGTTAATGTAGCCATGAATAAGAAGGTATTGTAAAACAATGAATTTATAAAATATAAACAACATAGGACATAAGACAATGGTTTCAGCCGTTCTGTGTTTTCATTGTTCCTTCATTGCAATTATAAAAATGGGTTTTATGTTGCTGTTCTTATGACAGGGAATTGGACTAGAAGACCCTTTAAACTCTACAGTTCTAGGATTTTATAACCAATCCTGCTTGTTAAACACCACTGTCATGCTCCACTTTTCACAACTCTCCATTCCCAATTCTCTCTGCCAAAGACCAAATATCAACATTGTCTCAGCACATGTTCACTCACAATGAGCACTCAAGGGTCACATTCTGCACATCTCTAACAGTACATGGTATCTTTCATTATACTTACTATTATGAGACATTACCTTCATTGCCTTAATACATATATGTACAACTTTCCATACAAACACCAGAACATCAAATACACTCCATGTATTTACAATTGATTTTCCCCTAGACCAGGGGTCTGCAACCTTTAAGACAAAAAGAGCCACTTGGACCCGTTTCCGAAGAAAAAAAAACTGGGAGCCGCAAAACTCGTCATTATAAAAATAACTTTTTTGTCACTTTTTTATTATTTCTTTGTTTGACCCCTCAGAATTACTCCTCCTCATAGTAATAAACGTTAAATTAACAAGTTACCTGTTTTTGTATGTGTGTTCTTCACTCCCCTTCAAAACAGTGACCAGCGTACATGCCCCCTTTCAATGCAGTGACAAGTGTACATGCCCCTTACAATGTAGCGGGTGGGTGGGAGGGAAGGTGACGTCGGGACGGTGCGTGACTAACGCACACACCGCCCCCATGCGACCTCACAGCCAGTACAGCGCCCGCCACAGTGGGGAGTGTCGGGGCGCACAACCTCGCTAGTATCCGCCCCGGAGCCGCGGCAAAGGTGTAAAAGAGCCACATGAGGCTCCGGAGCCGCGGGTTGCCGACACCTGCCCTATACGGTGGTATCTCGGGTTAAAAACGTAACTTGTTCTGGAGGTCCGTTCTTAACCTGAAACTGTTCTTAACCCGAGGTACCACTTTAGCTAATGGGGCCTCCTGCTGCCGCCCCGCGCTTTCTGTTCTCATCCTGAAGCAAAGTTCTTAACCCAAGGTACTATTTCTGGGTTAGAGGAGTCTGTAACCTGAAGCGTCTGTAACCCAAGGTACCACTGTATCAGCTTGCTGACATGAGGGACAAAGTGAACTGTGGGAAAAACTTGGCACACTCCATAATTCTAAATGGGATCTCCCCTGTGAGAGTCGGTAGGTGTTTATTAATAACTCCTTCCATTTAAACAACTGCTTCTCTGTGAGACCGTTGATGTTTTCTAAGAGTTCCATTCTCACTGAAGCGCTTTCCACACTCCAAACATTTAAATGGCTTCTCCCCTGTGTGAGTTTGCTGATGTCTTGTAAGAGCTCCACTCTCACTGAAGCACTTCCCACAATCCACACATTTAAATGGTTTATCCCCGGTGTGACTTTGTTGGTGTACACTGAGTTTCCCACTACAAATGAAGCTCTTTCCACACTCCAAACATTTATATGGTTTATCCCCTGTATGAGTTCGTTGATGTACTGTAAGGCTTCCACTCTCACTGAAGCACTTTCCACAAACCATACACTTATATGGTTTCTCCCCGGTGTGAGTTCGTAGGTGTACAGTAAGTATTCCATTGTGACTGAAGCTCTGCCCACACACTATACATTTAAAGGGTTTCTCCCCTGTGTGAGTTCGCAGATGTATGGTCAATTTTGAAGCTTCACTGAAGCTCTTTCCACACTCGATACAGTTATATGGTTTGACCCCTGTATGAATTCGTTGATGTCTTGTAAGTTTTCCACGACAACTGAAGCTCTTTCCACACTCCACACATTTATACGGTTTCTCCCCTGTATGAGTTCGCTGATGTACAGTAAGAATTCCTTTCCGACTGAAGCTCTTTCCACACTCCATACATTTAAATGGTTTCTCCCCTGTGTGAGTTCGGAGATGTATGGTAAGTTGTGGACCTTCAGTGAAGCTTTTTCCACACTCGATACATTTATATGGTTTCTCTCCTGCATGAGTTCGTTGATGTACAGTAAGAATTCCATTCCGATTGAAGCTCTTGCCACACACCATACACCTGAATGGTTTCTCCCCTGTGTGAATTCGTTGATGTACAGTAAGCTTTCCCCTATCCCTGAAGCTCTTTCCACACTCCATACATTTAAATGGTTTCTCACCTGTGTGAGTTCGTAGATGTATATAAAGGTGTTCAGTCACATTGAAGCACTTTCCACACTCTAAGCACTTATATGGTTTCTCACCCGTGTGAATTCTTAAATGCACGGTCAGTTTTGAACCTTCACTGAAGCTCTTTCCACACTCCATACATTTAAATGGTTTTTCCCCTGTATGAGTTCGTTGATGTACAGTAAGGCTTCCACTTTGACTAAAGCTCTTTCCACATACCATGCATCTAAATGGTTTCTCTGCTGTATGAATTCGTTGATGTCTTGTAAGTTTTCCACTTGCACTGAAGCTCTTGCCACACTCCATACATTTAAATGGTTTTTCCCCTGTATGAATTCGTTGATGTATAGTAAGGTGGGAACACTGACTGAAGCTCTTTTCACACACTATACATTTGTATGGTTTCTCCCCTGTGTGAGTTCGGAGATGGATAGTCAGCTGGGAACTTTCACTGAAGCTCTTTCCACATGCCGTACATTTAAATGGTTTCTCCCCCGTGTGCATTTGTTGATGTTTTGTAAGTGCTCCAGTATCACTGAAACACTTTCCACAAACCATACATTTAAATGGTTTCTCTCCTGTGTGAATTTGTTGATGTCTTGTAAGTTTTCCGCTTTCACTGAAGCTCTTCCCACACTCCAAACATTTATATGGTTTCTCCCCCGTGTGTGATCGTTGGTGTACACTAAGGCTTCCACTACAAATGAAACACTTTCCACAAACCATACATTTAAATGGTTTGTCGCCTGTGTGAATTCGTTGATGTCTTGTAAGTGCTCCAGTTTCACTGAAGTTCTTTCCACACTCCAAACATTTATATGGTTTCTCCCCTGTGTGAGTTCGTTGATGCTTTGTACATGCTCCACTGTCACTGAAACTCTTTCCACACTCCATACATTTAAATGGTTTTTCCCCTGTATGAATTCGTTGGTGTATAGGAAGTTTTCCACTACAACTGAAGCTCTTTCCACATTCCATACATTTATATGGTTTTTCCCCTGTGTGAATTCGTTGATGTACAGTAAGAATTCCATTCCGACTGAAGCTCTTTCCACACTCCATACATGTAAAGGGTTTCTTCCCTGTGTGAGTTTGTAGATTTGTGATAAGATGCTCACTCACACTGAAGCACTTCACAGATGGTCCTTCAGAATTCTGACTCCCTTCTCCATCATCTGCTTGAGAGTAGGGGAAAATAAAACCTTGTTAGAATTTCAAGGAAGAGAACAAGAGAACTTAACATACAGTAAGACCACCACTTTCTCTTTACACCACTGACCTGATTTTCAGGAAAGGGAAGAATTCCTAACAATAGTTTCAGGAACTGTTAGTATCCAATACGACCTTCAGCTCCCAAGTAACTCTGAGCAAAAAAGAGGGACCTTCCATGCAGATGTGGGAGCCAGATGTGGCTGAACTCAAAGTACCATCAGCCCAAGCAGGCATGTCCAATGGCCAGTGGTGATAGGAATTTCAGTGCAGTAACATCTGTAGGGACGCACTTTCTCCCTCTTTCGCCTCTTCTGCAAATGCTACATATCTGCAGTCCATTTTCTCCTTCCTCCGTGAACTATATCATCTTCCTGATACATTCCAACCAACTGTACACATTCCCCAATCTTGCACTGTGTCTCCACTGTCAGAACCACCCACCATTTCAGTAGCTGTCATTTAGTTCTCAGCTAATCTTCTCTCCCCACCTTTGGAAATATTATTTATCTGAATCCAAGCGGCTGGGAATCGTGAATGGGGAGAGCTTTGGTACTCAGGCCCTGCTGGTGGGATTCTCCCTGGTTGGTCCTTGTGAGAAGATGACGCTGGACAAGATGGCCCCTCATTTTGATCCAGCAAGGCTCATACTCACTGAAACGAAGCAATCAAACCTACAGTGTCACAGCAAAGTGGAAGCACCTACCTCTCCATTTGTCCTGGACAACATCTCTGTATTCTTCTGTCTCGAGCGAGAAGAGCTCGGACTTGGGTATCAGAATCTCTCCTGTGTGGAATAAGTAAAAGATACCTGCTATTTATGTCATATGCAAAAATATTCAAAAATAATCATCTGAAGCAAAGAGAACAAAATATCTGATGGCTAAGAAACATATTAAAGGCTAATAAACATATTATGGCCTAAACTTCTATGGGCTGCAATCTGGTGATGTGCACTGTGGACCAGGAAAACTGAAGCCACCAGGTCCTGCTGCAGCCTATTTATTCAATGTATTTGTTACTTTTGGGGGTATGGGAACTCAACACAACTTACAATATTTTAGTCCAAAAACAAAACAAATACATACATTAAAACCAGCATTCAAAATACACATTTGGGGGGCGGGCCCTGCTGGCTATGGAGTAAGCAGCAGAAACTGAGACCCCCCAGAGAAAATATTTTAAAAGATGGATTTCCCTGAAGAACAAGTATTATGAAGCAAAGAATACAGGTTAGTCCTTAAGAAACTTTTCAAGCAGGAATGTAACCTGGAGTAGTGAAATAATAAACAGTACTACAGTGGTACCTCCGTTTTCGAACATAATCCGTTATGGAAGACCGTTTGAGTTCTGAAGTGTTCAAAAACCAAAAACTCAGCAGCCAACAGCTAGGCCTCAGAATCTTGCACTCAGCAGAAGCCACATGGCATGTTTGACTTTTGAGGCGTGTTCAAAAACCAAAGCATTAACTTCCGGGTTTACGGCATTCGAAAACCAAAATGTTAGTCAACGGAGACATTTGAAAACTGAGGTACCACATGTATAATGAAATAAGGATTTCAACCTCAAACATTAAAGGGTGGAGGTTGATTAGGAAAAGGAGGAGGATAGAAATATTACTGAATAAAGATAAAGCAGATATAATATTTTTACAGGAAATGCATCAGAAGAAAGAGGGGGTTAATGAACACAGACTGAGAGGTATAAATAATTATGAAAAAGCACCTGGTACTTCAAAATCAAGAGGGGTAGCAACTACAATTTCAAAGAGATGCTGGTTTAGTATATTAAAAATGAAGAAAGATCCTGAGGGAAGATGCATTATAATTCAAGGAACAATAGCAGGGGGAAATACATTATAATTAATATTTATGTTGCTAATGAAAATCAGGTGGATTTTTTTGATAAAGTATTTAAGGAAATGGAGGATATTCCAAAGGGCCATATGATTGTGGCAGCATATTTCAATATGGTATTAGATAAACAATTGGATAAGTCAAATCCTACCTCAGAGGAAAGATGTAATAACATTACAGGATTAGCTAAAATTATGAAAAGGAAAGATACGAAAGATGTTTGGAGAGTGATGAAGGGAGGAGAGAAGATTTTTTTTCTTCTCACCAGTGCATAAGACCTACTGAAGGATCAATTATATCTTCGTTTCAAAAAACTTAATATCAAAAATACTGAATATGGAAATTAGAATAATAAAGGTAACTGACCACACATTGGTTAATAGGGTATTAAAAATAAAGAAAGATTACAAGGAAGCCAGAAGATGGAGGTTAGATACAAGGATCTTCAATAATAGTCAAACAGTAAATAAGATAGCGAAATACCATATTTTTTCGTCTATAAGATGCCCCCATGTACAAGACGACCCCTATTTTTTGAGCCCGAAATTAAGAAATAAATAATTTTATGTATAAATATATAAATAAAAACCAATGTGGCTTTGTAGCAGGAAGATAGATGTCTAGTTTAATAAAAAGAGTGTTGAATAAAATAGATATAAGAAGAAATAAATTGAAAGCTGGTATAGTAGCATTTAATCGTTAAAAATGATTATAGAAAGCTTAGGATTTGGAGAACGATTTAAGGGATTAATAAAGCAATTATATTTGAGGAACAAGGCATATGTCGTAGTGAACGATGGTATAACAAAACAAATAACATTATCCTGGGGCACCAAACAAGGATGCCTCCTTTCTCATTTTATTTGTATTGGTCATTGAAACTCTGGCCAATGTAATTATAGAAAAGGTAAAGGACCCCTGACAGTTAAGTACAGTTGAAAACAACTCTGGGGTTGCGGCGCTCATCTCGCTTTACTGGCCGAGGGAGGCGACGTTTGTCTGCAGACAGTTTTTCTGGGTCATGTGGCCAACATGACTAAGCTGCTTCTGGCAAAACCAGAGAATGCTGTTTACCTTCCCGCCGGAGCGGTACCTATTTATCTACTTGCACTTTGACATGCTTTTGAACTGCTAGGTTGGCAGGAGCAGGGACAGAGCAACGGGAGCTCACCCCGTCATGGGGATTCGAACAACCGACCTTCCGATCGGCAAGCCCTAGGCTCAGTGGAAATATAAAAGGAATAAGCAATAAAGGAAAAGAGCTTATTTACAGATGAAACCTTGCAAACAATCAAAAACCCATTGGAAAATATGCAGGTAACAGAGGCACATTTGAAAAAATTTGGATAAAAACAGGGTTGCAAATTAATTGGTCCAAATCAGAGATGGTGATGTTGAACTATGATGAAGATGAAAAATGAATTGAAAAAAATAAAAATAAGAAATGTAATAAAGTACTTGGGAATAAAGATAACAAGAAATTTAGAAAATTCAGAAGAAGAGAAACTTAACAAATTAAAGAAGGAAATTAAGGAAAAGCTGGAGGAATATAAGAAAATTAAGCTTTCATGGTTTGGAAGAATAGTGATAATGAAAATGAAAATTTTGTCCAGAATAATTTTTTTATTTAGAACCCCTGACACTTACCAATTAAGATATCAGAGACAGAGTTAAAGAGTTGGCAAAGTATGATCAATAAATTTTGTAATGGGGTAAGAAACCTAGAGTTAATAAAAGAAGATGGTATAAACCCCAGAAAACAGGTGGACTGGGTCTCCCCAACATAAAGTTATGTTATATAGCAAATATATATAGCAAATCATTTAACATATATCATAGATGGCATAACAGAACAAGGAGAGTCAGAATGGTTAGAGAGTGGTACACAGGAAACCAGGGAGAAGTTAGTGAATATATTTTTTATCAAATCAAATAGCCAATGTTGGCAAAATATTGAAAATCCCTTATTAAGAAATGTCATTGCCCGGACGCTGAGGTCCAGCGCCGAGGGCCTTCTGGCAGTTCCCTCATTGCGAGAAGCAAAGCTACAGGGAACCAGGCAGAGGGCCTTCTCGGTAGTGGCGCCTGCCCTGTGGAACGCCCTTCCAGCAGATGTCAAAGCGATAAACAACTACCTGACATTCAGAAAACATCTTAAGGCAGCCCTGTTCAGGGAAGTTTTTAACGTGTGATATTTTAGTGTATTTTTGGTTTCTATGGAAGCCGCCCAGAGTGGCTGGGGCGGCCCAGCCAGATGGGCGGGGTATAAATAATAAATTATTATTATTATTATTATTATTGGCGAAATAGAAAGGAAAATTGATACCAGCAAATTCCCCACTTACTCTGGTGGTGATGATAGAAGACTTGCTAGTAAATTGAAAATGGGAAATTGAAAAAGATGCTAAAAAGAAGAAAATACTTAAAATAAAGGATTGGGTGGAGAAAATGAGAAGAAAGAACAAATAAGAGAAGCTCTAACAGGAAGTAGAATAACTTGGTTTAACTGTATACAACTGGAGCAATGGACAAAGAAGTGGTTAAGGGAAAACAAGATCTGTAAATATACAAAATTTTGGGGGGAAAGATTATAAAAAGGGGAGATAAAGAATAAAACACAGTTATAAAAGGGAAAACCAATGAAATTATAAAATATTAGTAGAAATGGAAGATCAGGAAGATCAATTAAAAGAGGTGTGGGGAAAGGAGACAACAGGGCAGACAGATAGTCAAAGCTGGGAAATATGGGAGAAACGGATGTTGAAAATGTTATCTATAAGAATAAAAGAAAATTATTATAAATTAGTTTGAAGATGGTATTTAACACCAGTCAGACTGAATCAAATAAACGACGAATATTTGGTGTTATGTTGGAGCGGATGCCAGGAAGCAAGGAATTATGTTCCCATATGGTGGGGGTGTAAATATGTACAATTTTTTTAGGCAAGGGGTGTTTAAGGAGATAACAGAAATCAATGGGTAAAGGCTGACCAACAC